ATTAGGTTTCAAAGGGATACAAATTAAAACCACAGTGAGATACCACTTCACACCCACTAGAATGGCTATAATAAAAAAGAGAGACAATAACAAGTATTGGTGAGGAGGTGAAGAAATCAGAACCTTTATGCATTGCTGGTGGGAATGTAAAATGGTACAGCCACTGTGAAAAAGAGTCTGGTAGTTCCTTAAAATATGAAATATATGTGTAAAACAAGACAATAGGCCCCAAATGGAGTTGCTTACCCTAAGCCTCTTGTTATCAAACTAAGACTTAATTACAGTTTCAGCTCTCTCAGAAATGGAATCTTTAAACAGTCAAGGAAGAATCCCCTGATTACCACTAGTCACATAATCTGATAGACCACTGCCTTTACCTAAGCAGGGAAGGGAACATCCAGCCCTCAGGCCATATAAGGCCTAGGACAGTGGTCGGCAAGCTCATTAGTCAACAGAGCCAAATATCAATAGTACAACGACTGAAATTTCGTTTGAGAGCCAAATTTTTTAAACTTTAACTATATAGGTAGGTACATTGTTATTAACTTAATTAGGGTACTCCTAAGGCTTAGGAAGAGCCACACTCAAGGGGCCAAAGAGCCGCATGTGGCTCAAGAGCCGCAGTTTGCAGACCACGAGCCTAGGAAATCATTTGATTTGGCCCCAGCCAAGGCATTAGGGGTGAGCTAATTAAATGTTGGACCAAATACAGCAGGTTAATTTTTAAGCTGACAATTTTATATAGCTCTTGGATTATGTTATAAATATTCAAATGGCCCTTGTCAGAAAGAGGTTCCCCATCCCTGCCCTAAAGAAAAGTGACATTACTAACTATAACTAACTCCCACTCCCTTCTGACTATAAAAGTCTTTCATTTTGTACAGCTCTTCAGAGCTCCTTTTTATCTGCTGGATTGGATCTGCCCAATTCATGAATTGTTGAATAAAGCCAATAAGATCTTCAAAGTTTACTCAGTTGAATTTTGTTTTTTAACACATACTAGTAAGTTACCATATGACTCAGTAATTCCACTCTCAGGGATCCACCCCAGAGAACTGAAAACATATGTCCATACAAAAACTTGTACACGAATATTTATAGAAGCATTGTTCACAACACCAAAAATAATGAAAACCACCCAAATGTTTATCAATGGATGATGTATAAATAAAATCTGTTATAGCTATGCAATGGAATATTATGCAATTAAAAGGAGTGGAGTACAATATGGATAAGCTTTGAAAACATTATGCTAAGATGGAAAGTACCACATATTTTATGATTCCATTTATATGGAATGTCCAGAATAGGCAAATGTGTAGAAGTAGGAAGTAGATTGGTGGTGCCAAGAGCTGGAGTGAAAGAGAAATGGGAACTGATTGTTAATGGAAAAGGGGTTTATTTTCAGGACAATGTTCCTAAATTTCATAGCGATGCTTGCATAACTCTAAATACACTAAAAAAACACTGAATTGTATACCTTAAATGGATAAATTGAATGGTATGTGAATTATATCACAATAAACTTGTGTTTAAAGCCCTATCCATTGTGAACAGACCAAAGGCACCTAGTTTACTTAGTAGAGCATGAGACTTAATGTGAAGAGGTTGGTTGCCAATTAGAGACCTGAGAGGAAGGGGCTGACTGCTCAGATCACTTCCCTGATTGTTACTAAAGAGTCCTTATCAAGTCCAGAGAAAGATACAGATTCAGATAGGGATGTTGGTAACCAAACAACTTTAACTCCCTTTAGGCTTATACTTGACCACGAGAGACGGCTGCACAGCACAGCCACAAGTAATCCTAATCAACACACTTTATTGCTCCTACAATCTGCTCTCTCGGGGTCCCTATCAGTCTCCTGAACTGTACTAATGCCTCTCAATTCACCAAAACTTATCTAATCTGTCCCAACTTCATACTCTGAAATAGGTAGCTGTATAATCTCATCTTCCATGGGTAAGAAAATACTATAATATTCCTCAAGCAAGGACTGTATGCCAGGCACGGACTTGTTTAATTCTTACAACAGTATTACGAAATATGTAGCAATATTTTCATTTCCATTTTACAGATTGAGAGACTGAGGCAGGGGTCCTCAAACTTTTTAAACGGGGGGCCAGTTCACTGTCCCTCAGACAGTTGGAGGGCCGGACTATAGTTTAAAAAAAAAAAACTATGAACAAATTCCTATGCACATTGCACATATCTTATTTTGAAGTAAAAAAACAAAACGGAAACAATATTTGTATTTGCATGTGGCCCGCGGGCCATAGTTTGAGGACCCCTGGACTGAGGCATGGGATGTTTAGTAATTTGGCCAAGGTCACAGAGCTACTCAGTGGCATGGCAAGGATTTAAACCCAGATTTATGCTGACAACAATGTGCTTAACCAATATGCCATTCTATGTTTCTAAGAAAAGCTCTTTCACACCCTTGCTAGTCACTCTCTCCATGTTTTGCCTATGTGCGGTTATCTAGTAAAGAGCAATTTTGTGTCTTATTCACCTGGTTCCCATTTGTTCCACCAAACATAGTTTTCTTACGGTTCAGATTCACTGTTCTGACCAATCAGAGCCCAAGATTGTTATCTACATTACCAGTTTACCCAGTCTCCCATCCTACTAGCACATTAATAGAAGTGTCCAAAATTTTGTGCAAGCATTCAGTGCAAAACTCTGAGCCTTTCCTCTACCTCTAGCTCAGCTGTCCTTTTTATTTTCTTTACCTGGGGGTGGGGGTGGGGTGGGCAGTGACACCTACTTCACTCACACATGCTGGTGAATATGTGATTAAATATAGACGGAAGTGACAAGAGTCCCTGTTGAGAGTTCAAAGCTAATTACATAAAGTGTCTTGAAAAGCATTTGAAAACTTGTAAAAAGTGTCAAGAGCCATAATGCTTTTTTAGAGACAGAAAAGTAAAGTATAAAAGATTAAAAGAGTCTGGATTTGTCCAGAGCTCTTCTTGGGCACGGGAATGACTGACTGGCTGGGGACGTAGCTGCAAACAATCTTCACTTCCAGAATGAAGTGACCAAATGTTTTTACGTACATTTAAAAATATGTATTATTTTAGAGCAAGAAATGGAGGAGAGAGAGAGAGAGAGAGAGAGAGAGAGAGAGAGAGAGAGAGAGAAGAGAAACATCAGTTACCTCCTACAACCCGGACACCCAGTTGTGTACGGGAGGATGCTCCAACCAACTGAGCCACACCAGCCAGGGCTTTAATTACATTTTAAAATAATATTTTTAACTAAAGGAAAGCACCTCCTTCTTTCCTTTCCATATATGCATGTGCCCGTTGTGCTCAATGCTGAACCATTCTGAGAGGCAGAAACTGTAAGCACCTGGACCACACTCCACAGTAAGTCTCAAGCACCCTTGGGTCCCTTTTGTGTCATCTATGGTAACTGTTTGACCTCCCCTGATTTCTTCACCGTGAGTATCTGGCACAGTGCCCTGTGTAGCTCAGGGGCTAAGCTGATCAAGGAAATGAAAAGGGCCTGAATGGCCCGACACAGGAAAAAGGTAATGGGAAGCCACCGAAGGGCTTTAAGCAAAGAAGGGTTCCAATAAAACCCAAGTTTCCCAAGGCACACTTTGGAGACTAGTTTGGAGAGAAGAATGACCCAGAGACTGCCTCAGCCAGAGACAAAGGCTGTATGAGCTACGGTGCTGGTGCTGGCAGAAGCCTGGGAAAGGGGAGGGAACCCGAACCACTAGAGTAGTGATGGCGAACCTATGACACGCGTGTCAGAGGTGACACGCGAACTCATTTTTTTGGTTGATTTTTCTTTGTTAAATGGCATTTAAATATATAAAATAAATATCAAAAATATAAGTCTTTGTTTTACTATGGTTGCAAATATCAAAAAATTTCTATATGTGACACAGCACCAGAGTTAAGTTAGGGTTTTTCAAAATGCTAACACGCCGAGGTCAAAAGGTTTGCCATCACTGCACAAGGGTCTGGGAAGGGCCTTCACTTCCTTTTTGAGACTGAGCCACCCCCAGCACAGCTTCTGCTTTGCATGGGCTGGGGTAGTTTAGGGGGAGAGGGGACAACCCTACCTTGCAACAGCCTGAGGCCCCTAAAACTCGCTGCACAGCTGCCAGCTATCCCTTTTCAGTACTCAACATGCTATAGTCCCTGGCACTATTGCCCCATACCAAAAGTCACTCCTCCATTGCCACGGGGGAGATAATATTCTTTAGGGTTCTGGGGACATGAAATGAAGGAAGGCTTCCTGGAAGAGACTTTACCTGTCCTGGTCCCTGAAGGGCAGATATAAATGGAGGGAACAAACATTCCAAAATAAGCATAGTACAAACAAATGCATGAATAGTAGAGTATCTAAGAGCAAAGACAGTTGTGGGTTGTAATCCCAGCTTAATTAGTTGTGTCATCATAGCCAATTTACACCTCTTTGAACTTCTGTTTAAATTCTTAAAAATCTAGATAATAATATTCCCTCTCCAGGGGCTGGGAAGATTGAATGAAATCATAATAAGCACCAGACACAGTCTAAGCTTTCAATAATAAAAAAAAACAACGCAATCAACTATAAAGCAATAAATATGAGTCATTTTTTACAAACAATAGTAGTTAACTTTGCCAATATTGGTGAATAATGGGAGAAAAGTTTGGAAAGGTAAATTGAGCCCAGACCAAGGTAGGTCTTTAAAAATTAGAAAAATTTTAGAAAAATTAGAATAGAGCAAAGTCAAACTTTGTGTACAGAGGAGAGAGACAGAGAGGTTGCTTTAAAGATGGACAAGTTACTTGGAACTCCTTTGTAATTCATTAATGTCTTGTTTATTGTCTAGCACTCTGAGCTTCATGAGCTATGGATCAAGTCTATTTTGTTCACCACTCTATATTTAGAACCTTGCACAGCACCTGGCCCACAGTATGCACTTAATACATTGA